CCTGTGAAGTAGGTGGGGCTGAGAGAGCTCTGACAGAAACTGCTCTTTTTTTCAAGAACAGCTCTTATCAGAACTACGGCTTGCCCAAGGTCATCCAGCCAGGTGCAAGTGGAGGAGTGGGGAATCAAACCCGGTTCTCCCAGATAAGAGTCCGCGCACTTAACCACTACACCAAACTGGCTCTCTACACCAGGGGGACGATGGCCCCAATCCCAGGAATTAAAAATACACCACCGGGGATATTAAAGTCCTCAGGTTCACTTAACATTGAGTATGGGATCCTGGCTTTACATTTCTACCTCATCCTTTTCCTGGAGCTTGAGGACTACCAGCGACTTGCATCACTTCTCACTGAGCAAAGTTTTCTACCATTCTTGCTTATACAAAATGTCCAGCTATTCTGTTTGAGATGGATATCACATGTCCATCAGCACTTCCCTAAACAGTGCTACGACCTTCTAAATCCATTGAAGGGAATCATTTAAAAGGGTGTGGCACCGCTTCAGGAGGTACTGTGAGGCATTTACTACAGCCTTATAAATAAGTCCACAAAAGCACTAAGCCCACCTGCTTTCATATCTCGTGGACTAATACAAGACAGCCACTAGTATTTGAGATGCTTCCTTGCTTGGTCACCTGGAGTTAATAATTACTCACCCCAGGTGACTACATGGATGGTTCTTCCCCCCCCCCTCCAAGGCAATCAGTATATCGCTATGTAACTAACACATTTACATGTAGTCAGGTGGCTTTCCAACCATATTGGTGGCCTTATCCATTTTGTGGATTTATTTGATAGGCCAATGAGAACAAATTGAAAGAATTGGAAATTAAAAAAGTTGTTCACTCACAATCGGAGTCTGTTCTGGGAAAGCAGGAAGCCGTCGTATACTAAGCAGACGCCAAACACCGTGATCCCCGTTTCCTTTACCAGCATTGCACAAGTCCCAAGAAATAAACTAAGCAGCAAGAAGAAGAGAGAAGCAGTCGGAGGGAAATGTTCCCCAACATAAAGCTGATCCACGCTCCTGCAAGGAGAACCCAAGAAATAACTAAAAATAAACACAGTCACTGTTTGTCTATTAAGCAGATTTCCATAAATTAGAAATGAAATCCTCAGTATAATGGCAGTTAGCAGGGCAGCGTACATCATAAAACAGACTAAAAAAAAGGCTTATGTTTGAGCAAAATAGCAAGGCAGACAGAAACAAGGGCAAAAAAAGAGAGAGAGACAGACAGAAGAGGAACCAGGAAGAAAAACAGAAGCTGTAGGAGGGAAAGAATCAAAGACAGGAGGAACATCAGCAAACCCTCAAGTTGGGAAGGGAAGGGCCTACATCAGGGGTCAACACCCTCAGGCAAGGCACCAGGAAGGATTCACTGGAGACATGTGACCTGTCCCCAGGTTACCAAGACAACCAGGCAATGTTCCCTGCCTTGCTGCCCTACAAGCCTGACTGTCACTGTTCACCCCTACAGCATGGTACAGCAAGATGGGACACTTGGTTGCCTTGGCAACACGAGACTGTCCCTTGTCTTGCCACACTAGAGGACACCAATGGAACCAACCCCACAGTGCAAGGTGGAATACAGGGAACATCACCAGCAACGCAGAGACGTCCCCAACCCGTCTTGACTCCTCATTCGGAGGAAAATCTGGGCAAGGCTAAACAGGAAGCAGGGCCATGGGGGACTCTCCTCCCCCCACACACACTTTTGTGCCCTTTCAAGCATCTCTCCCACCTGAAAACAGCTGCCAAAAATGGAGACACACTTTAAGATGCACGAAAATGTTCACAAAATTCAGTTCAGCTTTATAAGCAACGGGCAAAAACATAGTTCTTGTTTTTCTCCCTTCCCCCCTACTGTCATCTTGAAATATTTTCGACATGTTTTACACAGTAGATCAATCCACATTACAGAATTTCCCCTCAAATACTGGGGCAAGATTTAAAACCTTGAACACAACTATGTTTAATGTGAAAAGGAAAAGCCTTTAAAGAGAAGCAAGCACTCTGCAAGCTATTAATCTTCCATGTAAAGCTGCCAGAAACCAAACATTTTTAAAGCATGCAAACTGCCATTCTTTACTTTCACAGCACAGAGATTTTGACAGGCATTCCCAGTAATTACAAGATTTAATTATTTATTTATTTATCCACATAATAACCCTTACTTGAATAGGATTAGGCTTTCCAGTATGGAGACAGTTCAACCGCAGACAAGTCATATTCCCCAACACAAAATTCTTCACTGACCTAGAAGTTCCAGTGCATTTACAGGGCTTCCCTGTACTTTACCAATCGCTGATCACAGATGACTTTAGCATTTAAGTGGTTGCTTTTGTTGAACTTGTAATTTTTTAGTGCTTTATTTTGTGTGTGTGTGCGTGTGTGTGTGTGTGCATGAGAGAGAGAGAGATGCCATCAAGTTGCTTCTGCCTTACGGAGACCCTATGAATTAATGACCTCCAAAATGTCCTCTCGTTAACAGCTATGCTCAGGTCTTGCAAACTGAGAGCCCTGACTTCCTTGATAGAGTCAATCCATCTTCATCTTTTCCTGCTGCCTACAACTTTTCCTAGCATGATTGTATTTTCCAGTGACTCTGGTCTTCTCATAATGTGACCAAAGTATGATAGCCTCAGCTTGGTCATTTTAGCATCTAGGGAGAGGTTCAGGCCTAATTTGATCTAGAACCTCTCGAACAGATACTGAGGCCCTTTTTTCCAAATTTTCTATTGTAGACACAGGAGAGAACAGTATGGGGTCTTCATACATTTTTTGGAAATAGGACCTCCATGTTTCTGGGGGGATACAGGAGGCTAACAGAGAAGCAGCTCTTGATGTATTATTGGACACCAGTCTCCAAAATAGAGATGTATTTTTATTCCTGGTTGCTTCAATTAGATAGGCCCACCTTTCTCTAGTGTATTCTTTCTTTCGTTTATCTACCAAGAGCTTAAATTCCTTCTTTTTAGCCGAAAGAAGGCTTTAGGTTTCCTGCCTATTCTTTTCCTCAGCCCTCCTTGCTGAATTATATGCAGTGGATTTTTAGCTTTAATAAAGCTTTGGTCAAACCATGGTTTTGAAGGAAAATTCATCACGGCTTGCCTTCCTTCCGGAAAGCATGCTAGGAATGACCTTAATGATTGAATCAGGTCGTCATACATTTTTAATGACTGTTCTGGATTTAAAGGGGCTTTAAAGGCTTGGCAGAAAAGTTGGAGATTCTCAGCTGTTAGAATTTCCTTCACCTTTAGGTCGAGCTTAGAGGACCATTTAAAATGACAGCCTTGACGTTCCATCGGCGTAATATTTATAGGATATGTTGTATGTATAGCCTTCATGTCTAGGCACACTTGGAGATGGAGTGAGAAATGATCACCCTCTAGATAGGGGCAAATTTGAATATTGTCCACCAGGGATAGCGATGCTCTATCTACCAACATATAGTTGACTGTACTAGTTCTTGTCCCTGCCATAAAGGTGAATTCGTCCAGGACATCTCCTTTCATAGAGCCATTTAGGATATACATGCAGAGGTCATTTCGGGGGGGATCGCGGGGGATCGCAGTTCCCCCGGGTGAGGTACAGGGGGCGGGGCACATGATGAAGCCCCGCCCCCTGCTTCCGGCCGCCCCGCTTCCGGACCTCATTCAGCCAGGAGGAGGCAGGAAAAGAGGGAGGGTAAGTTGCTTCCTCCCCGCCTCTCCCCACCCCTGCCTGCCTGGGGCCAGGGAGGGCCTTCGTGGGGCTTCCTTGCACTCCCGCCGGCCTTGCAGGTCCATCGCCGGGCCCGTCATTGGCCATCATACTTTTTAAAAAGCACTGTTTTTTTTGAGGGGAGGTATAGTCTACTAAGACTAGCGTTGCAACTGTCCAGGTTGTCCAGAGGTCCCCATCAGCTCAAGAACTGCAGATCTTGGAAGCTAAGCAGGGTTGACTCTGCAAGTATTTATGTCACACTTCCGGTGATGTCAGGGGTGTGGCCTTATGACACACTTCCGGTGATGTCAGGGGGTGTGGCATATGCTAATGAGTTATGCTAATGAGTTCCCCTAGCTCTTTTTCTACGAAACGACCCCTGTATACATGCCTAGTCTTACCACTGACTTTGCTAAACAGTCTCCTGCAAAGTTCAAGGTCTGGTCCCTTAAAACATCGCGTTTGATGGGGAGGTTCTAAGGCCTCCTCCAGACCAGAGTTCCGCTCACTCACGGGCCTACCCAAAGTGCTTAAAAAGAAGTGAAAGCTCTGTGGTGTACAGGCCTGTGGGGCCTGCCCCCTCCCCACACTCACCAGTATGAACAAAGACTAAGTCCGCCTGCGCAAGACCTTGGGTTGGGGGTTCGGATTCTACAGGAGGTGAACAGGGCAAATCGTCACACTCCTAGATTGCGTGGGACAGCACCAGCCACGAGTGTCCTGAGAAAAAGCCGGTACGTTCTTCTCCCCCCTCAAAGACAAATACCACCCCCAGGAACTGCCACACACTTTGAGGCTCAATTAAATATTATGCAAATAGATGCGAAGGGAAAAGAGCATCAGAAGGGAGAGGTGACAAATGTCTCCCCACCTGCTGATCCGCCGCTCAAAAATCATCCACACACCCTCCAGCTGTTTTCTCTGCCGGTCTACCACACAATTCCAGGCATACTTTCCTTTGTGTAGAGGCATCTGAAACCCTACAGGGGGAAGGCATTTGAAGCAGGGAAGAACTGCCTGGAGGCAGGATTGGGGCCCCTTCCCCTGCTGTTCCTCCACTCTGTAGGATTCCCTTCAGAAATGTCTTTTCTCTTTTTAAAAAAGGCCACCAAAGTTCTAAATCCTGCAACAGTGGTAAATGAAAAGCGGCACTGCCTGTGAGAGGTGTGCACCGCGAACACTGCTAAGGTACTGATGCAGGTGGCAACACAACGGGGATGCTGGTCTCCTGCGGTTCGATGTGCCATAAGCAAATCCAATTCCCTTAATTTAATGCACATAGTTGAGCAGCTGCTCTTTGCTACCACTACCCACCCACTGCAAAGACAGAAGAAAGAGGAAAAGAAATAAGGTTACAGAAGGTGCTTTATACAGGGCTTGGCTGGATAAAGCAGATTCCCCTAGCAGCGATGTCTTATTTATTTGTTCCCCCGCCCCAGACAAAGAAGTACCCCAGCCATAAAAAAAAAAAAAGAGCCGTACCTATTATAGGAGAGAAACGCCAACAGAAATAGCAGGCAGGCCAAGACATCTGCTCTGCCTACTATACCCGTTACCTGAGGAAGAAATGGAAACACGTTACATTAATAATTGAACAACAACGCTATAATAAAACGCTTGTAACAAACTTTTTCCTGACGTTTGTCTCTCCTTCATACCTGCCAGAAGATATTTAAGGATATTACTATTTTGTCAGGGAGTAAAGATTAACGGCACTGTGTTTTACGTTTCATTAAGAGCAATGGTCCATCTAGTCCAGGCCTCTGACTGTTCTTTGTCCACGTGAACAGTGTTTTAATATCAATTGAGCTTGTAATATTTCCTCTTCTTCTTCTTCCATCCAAGTTTCCAACATTCCACCCGATTTTCCTAGAATTTCCTCACAATCCTTAGCATGACCAAGAAAAAGAACCAATGGGCGGGGCTGAAGGGCCAATCAACCAGCCACAGATACCTCCTCCAATGTTGCCTCCTAGCACAGATATTCAAATGTTTACTGCTCTTGAATGTGGAGGTTCCCTTGACTAGAAGCCGACGATGGACCTCTCCTCCATGAATCTGTGTAATCTCCCTTTCAAGCTATCCATGCCAGTGGCCATTGCTACATCCACAGGCAGTGAATTCTACCATTTAAATGTTCACTGAGTGCAGACACACTTCTGTTTCCACAGAAGTGACGCCAGCGTTTTGGTGATGGGGGGGCAACACTCTCCTTTTGGGGCAAAGCTCTATGGCTTGACACCATTTTTACCATAGAGTTTGCCCAAAAAGCAGAGTGTCGCCCCCGACATCACTTCAGGCGACATCAGTGTGTTGCGCGATGTCCCAGCCCACCCTTGGAATGCCCCCCAAATGACACCAGCAGCGTGACAAGGGGACTTAGCAACCCTACCCCCACCTTTCTCCACAATGGGGATCCAAAGCTACTTACATCGTACTCCTTTCTTCCATTTTATCCTCACAACAACCCGGTGAAGTCGGTTAGGCCAAGGATGTCTGACTAGCCCACCATCACCCAGAGAGCTTCCATACCACACTGGAGAGTTGAACCTGGCTCTCCCAGATCCTAGTCCAACAACCACAACCCCACACTAATGCGTGTCACAACTGCAGTTCTTGTTCAGAAAAGCACCTTTGGAAGATGGTACAACTGCAAGCAGAGAAGCAGAGCAAGGGCACTTAACCAGTTTGGTGTAGTGGTTAAGTATGCGGACTCTAATCTGGGAGAACCGGGTTTGATTCCCCACTCCTCCACTTGCACCTGGCTGGATGACCTTGGGCAAGCTATAGTTCTGACAAGAGCTGTCCTTGAAAAGGCAGTTCTCTCAGAGCTCTCTCAGCCCCACCTACCTCACAGGGTGTCTGTTGTGGGGAGGGGAAGGGAAAGGAGTTTGTAAGTCACTCTGAGACTCCGAGTGAAGGGCGAGGTATAAATCCAATCTCTTCTCTTCTTCTTAACCCTTTTCCCACACCAAAGCTTTTTCATGGCTGCTTCTTGTTGGCAGAGTTTAAACATGCAAAGGAACAGAGCACCAACCGTTTAATGAAAATAACTCAGTTTATTAAAGAAGAAATAAACTCTGAAAGAAGAGGGAGAGAGGCTTAACTAACTGACTAACTGCTGTGAGAGGCAGGAAAGAAGGGGAAGGGCTCAGTTGGAGCAGGAGGTCTCCAAAGAGCCAATCAGGAGACAGGAAGGACATAACTTGAAATTGTGGGAAGTCCCTAATCTAGCTATGCTAACTAGCGGTCCTTCAGATGTCCCCTACAGGCTGTTCTTCTGATCTTCTTCAAGCAGGTGCACTATAGACCTTGCGTATTTCAACACTTCTCCCATGTAATTTTAAATGTGGGAAAACATGCATCTTAAAAAATTCCATTGAGGAAGAACTGCTGAAGATGGAAATTTGGAACAAGAAAATTGTGGGCAGGGAGAAACACTGGCACCCTCTCTTCTATTACTCCTCTGTTCCCAATTGCCCCCACCGGAAGCAACCTTTTCAACATTATATAATGAGGTCTCCAGGATAATGCAAAGCTTCCAAGACAAGAAGAGGAAGACGTTTTTATTTATACCCTGCTTTTCTCTACCCCAAGGAGTCTCAAAGAGCCTTACAATACCTTACCTTCCCACTGCCTTGGCTTTTCAAGGAAAAGAACAGTTAGCAGCAAAGAAACCGTGTCTGTAGCACTGAAAATGTTTCCACCTCTCCCAGGATCTTCATAACTCTGCAAGTCTTCAAGGTTAAAACAACTGGCTGTTTAAAAAACATAATACTACTACAGTGAGAAATGGACTTAAGGAAAAACCCTCTCTCCCCAGGCCAGTAAAGTCATTCCTAACTGTGGTAAACTTTGCTAACAAAAGGTCAATAATTCCCCATTCATAAATAAATCTTAATCACCAAACACAGCACAGTCAAGGGGAGCTCTCCCAGTCTCAAAACTGGTGAGTTTTGGTAATTTATTTGTGCTAGCTCAACAGCTTACCTCCTCTTAAATAACAAAAAAATTTAAAATCCTGTCTCGAAACCTGGCTCACAGTAAGTTAATTTGTCTTCTGAGTTCTGGTATTTGCCTCCTGCCCTCCCCGTTCCTCCTTCGTTAATTCTTACCTTGAACTAGCAAACATACATATTCACTGTATGAACTCGTGCTTCCAATCAACCCCCCTTCCTCTTCCAACCAATGATTTCCCACCACCACCACCCCAAAAAGGTGCATTATTCTGGCTGATTAACTCATGAAACAGCCTGGGAGGAATCTGGAAAGCTCACGGCCTCTTTTGTTATTAAAAAGATAATCTTTCCTGAAAGGATCTCAGCAAGGCGCGTCATTTCGTTCATGCCTGCCTAAGCCTCAACCATTCGCATCCCCCTTAAGAACTGGTCTGGAGAAGAGCAAAGGAAACCGCAAGCTGGGATTTACAATGCTTCATGAACAATGCCAGCTGATCACTGAGCACCTCGCTTTTAACTGGCAAGGATGCTGCTCCCTGATCATCTTTAAACTACCCTGCAGATTGACAGGTTGGAGGATGGGAGAAGAACAGAGGGGTCTCACAGTGGCTGGAAAGCAGGCATGCCTCTCCTTATTTATTTTACTTTATTCACACCCTGCATTTCTTCCCAACAAGGACCCAAAGCAGCTTACATCAATCTCCTCCATTTTATCCTCACAACAACCCTGCGAGGTAGGCCAAGCCGAGAGTGTGTGTCTGGCCACAGTCACCCACGGCAGCATGGGGATTCCAATTTCCAACTTGGAACCCCTGGATCCCAGTCCAAAACTTTAACCCCTACGCCATGCAGGCTCTATCTGAATGGCCCTGCCCTTGCTTGTTTCTTGACCGTGAGGGAATTCTGGGGAAACCGGGTGGAATGTTGGGAACTAGAAGAGATGGATGGACAGACTGAGGAAGAAGAAGAAATGTTTGGTTTTTAAGAATGGACACACTTCTTACAAGCCCAACAAAAGTACTGAACGTTATTCGTGCGGACAGAGAAAAGTTAGAGCACATTCAGGATTTTATAAAGCACAGGAACTGTGGGAACATGGAAGGCATGCTCTGACACAAGTTTTTGGGGAAATGGTATGTTTAACAGGCTTAGAGAAATTAGACCTCCAGGAAATTCTCCCACGAAAATCCCACTGCAACCAACAGGAACACTAGTAGAGCTAGTTTCAGAAGGCAGCTGTGTTGGTCTGCAATTGAACAGCCACTCCTGACCCCTTTTCTTTACAACACCCCTCTCGCCTTCAGACTGGGACATCAGGACTCATGATTCTCCATTCCCACTTGTATCTGATAAAGGAAGCATTGACTCTCGAAAAGCTCATACCCTAAAATTCTCGTGGGTCTCTCAGGTTCTACCGGACTCAAATTGACTAGTAGAGTTCTTACGCTAGTAGAGTTCTTACACAAACCTAAGACTCCCCGCCCCCAGCTCTTTAAAAGGCCAGATCCTAAACATTAGGTATCAATTTCTGAAAATGAGTTTGATTTTGCTTGAATTTTTTTTCTCTCTTCCTTGGATAAAAATATTAAAATAGTGTGCTCAAGACAAACTTTTGACAGCTAGTACATTCTTCCTTGATGTGGTGGCATCTACTCGTTTTTTTAAAACCAGCATTTAATTCACTTTTGAATTAACCACCATGATTAGCTGGACAATGTTTCTGCCTCTGCTCAGAGCTTCTAAATCTGACCTGTGCACATGATCCCAATCTACGCCACCTTCCAACACTTATAACACTCTCAGACACAATGTAATTTGGGGAGTTTTTAGAATGACAGATGTGTGAAAGAGAATTCTGAGGGAAGGCAGAACAATCTCTCAGTGTGACAGACGTCTTGGGGTCCTTTCAGCTGCATGTTGCAGCCAACACTCTTCTTATCCTTCAATGAAACCACCTGGTGTTTATCCCTAGCAATGCTGATCGGTGCACTTAATTAGGGCCAAACCACATAGGATACATAAGATCCGTGATACGAGGTTGTATCCAACCAGTTTTTTCTCACAATAAAAAGAAAGAAGAGAAGGGGTTCCCTTTGACCATCAAAAAAAGGCAACATCAAGAATCAGGGGACCTTCATGCACAAAGGCCATGTGGGACAGTAGCCACTGTAAGGAAGTGAATTGGATAAAACCAAGTACAAAAGCCAGCCCCATGCAACCCATAATCTCCTCCTTTTCTTTCAACTTTAGAAGAGACACAGGAGCTCCAATTTTGTTTGGAGCAGTGGTACACGGCATTGTTTCACCGGTCTTAATGACACTGTAGCATTCCCCACCCCACCCACAAGGCAAATACCAGATAAGGGAATTATTTAGATGAAGGCAAAGACACAGGGGAAAGATTAAAGGCCCTCTTTCCTTAGAACCTCTCCTCTGATCAGATTCATAGCCCTCGTGCCTGTTTTAGACTTCTTAAAAACAGAAAATCAGAAGACTTATTCGCAGCTCTCCCGTGTCATCTTTTGCTCGTAGAGTTAAAGCAAAATCATTATGCGTGGATGTTGGAAGCAAGCCTGGTCAAACTAAACAGGCTTTTCTTTCAAACAAGCCCGCACAGCTCCAGAGTCTTTAGATTCTGACAAGCACTGAAAGTTGATTCTGAATCTCCCTTGTCATGCTGATTATTTTCTTTAAACACAGCCCTATTCTGTTGCTGGACCTTCCAAAGTAAGCAAGCGTTCCACATTTTATTGTGGCAAAATGATCACATTTTCCATTGCTGGGAAGATGCTGTGTTTTTCCATGGAACTAGAAAAATAGACTCTCGGGTCGCTCGCATACTTACAGCCTCAGTGTGAATGGGATGGACAGCAAAGAACAGGGCGGTGACAAAAGCCAGCCGGCTGTCCTTGAAAACGGCTTTGTCACAAGTGTACATCAGCAGCAGCGTCACCAGGCAGTGCAGGGCTACATTCACAGCGTGGAAATAGAAGGGGTTCATGCCATCCAGCAAGATATTCAGCCTGCAAGAAAAGAAAATGCACGACAATGGCGGGTATTGACCTGGAAGTGAAGTCTGAGGGAAAACAGCATGACACCCACGCAACATTGACAAGTGTTGCAAATAAAATTCACAAAAGGGTTTTTTATTGGCCCACAAAAGATTTTACTGCATGATCGTGCCTGCCTGTGAACAACTGAAGCTGCTTCATAGGGAACCCTGTATGCTCTGACTGAGAACAAGGGTTTCCCAGCCTGGGATGCCCGAAGAATACCATTATTTAGGAAGTGGGTTCCAGATCAACTCAAGCCTGAACTCCCCCTTAGAAGCTAAAATGACTACACTGAGCCTATCCTACTTTATTTATTTATTTAAATTTATATCCTGTCTTTCCCGTGAATGGGCTCAGGGCGGTTTACAACAATAAACTACAATCAATGCGATTAAAAAGATATTAAGCAATAAAAACAGTTAAAACAGTTAAAAGATGGGAATAGTAAAGGTAAAGGTTCCCTTGCTCGAAAGCCAGTCAAATCTGACTCTAGGGTTGCGGTGCTCATCTCCGTTTCAAAGCTGAAGAGCCAGCGCTGTCCGAAGACGTTTCCGTGGTCATGTGGCCGGCATGACTAAACACCAAGGCGCACGGAACGCTGTTACCTTCCCACCGAAGTGGTACCTATTTATCTACTTGCAATTTCTTGCTTTCGAACTGCTAGGTTGGCAGGAGCTGGAACTAGAGATGGGAGCTCACTCCATCATGCGGCACCCGGGTCTCGAACTGCTGAACTACTGACCTTCCACAGCCTGCAGTTTAGCGTCTTAACCACTTGAGCCACCGCAGCTCCAAAAAGATGGGAATAGTAGCAATTAAATATCCAACAATCCTAAAACTGGGTACAGTCGGCTGTGGCCGAGCTATAAAGATCTTATCAGTAGCAGCCTATCAGTAGCAGAAACTGAAGCAGGGAGGCCAATCTAATGGCCACCCACAACCTCACCGAAAGGTCTGGTGGAACAGCTCCATTTTGCAGGCCCTGTGAAATTGTACTCGATTGGGAGCCTGTTCCACCAGACTGGGGCCACAGTTGCCAGTTCTGCCTTTTACCATCTTCGGCAGATCAGGTAGCTGGTTCCGTTTCTCTCCCCCCAGGACTTGGCTGCAGTGACAGGTCACATTATGAGAAGACAAAGAGTCACTGGAAAAGACAATCATGCTAGGGAAAGGAGAAGGATAGCAGGAAAAGAGGAAGACCCAACATGAGATGGATTGATTCCATAAAGGGAGCCACGGCCCTCAGTTTGCAAGACCTGAGCAAGGCTCTTAGCAATAAGATGTTTGGGAGGTCATTAATGCACAGGGTTGCCAATGGTGGGAAGCGACTTGACAGCACTTCACACACACACAAACACACACTGCCCTGCTTTCTTCCCCAGTGGAGACCAAAAGCAGCTTATAAACATAACTGAGCACGACTGAAATGAACAATTAAAACAAATAAAATACAAAGACATAAATTCTGTTCAAGGTAAATACAGGAATTTTCAACAACAGACTTTGACACTATGGCCTACAGAGACCTCTTCTGTATGAGAATATGTGGCGAAAACAGGAAAAACCACTTTGCCAGTAGAAACAGAGCAAACTATTGTGTCGGTATAGTTTGATTTTAAAATTCGGCATAGGTTTCAGGGAGTGCATTCTTCTCTTTGAGTTTCAGGTGCACAGATGCTATATCAGCTCTTCAGAACATAGAAACATAAGTACCTCAAGGGTCATCTAGTTCAACTAAAGCATAAAGCAAGAAATACACAACTACCTCAACCCTGCTTCCCAGTGACCCCTGCTCTATGCCCAGAGGAGGAGGAGGAGGAGGAAGAAGAAGGAGGAGGACGAGGAGATTGGATTTATACCCCGCCCTTCACTCGGTCTCTCAGAGCGGCTTACAATCTCCTTTCCCTTCCCCTCCCCACAACAGACACCCTGTGAGGTAGGTGGGGCTGAGAGAGCTCTGACAGAAACTCCTTTTTCAAGGACAGCTGTGCCAGAGCTTGTGACTGACCCAAGGTCACATCAGCAGGTGCAAGTGGAGGAGTGGGGAATCAAACCCAGTTCTCCCAGATTAGAGTCTGCGCACTTAACCACTACACCAAAAACCTCCAGGATACCTGAGCCAATCTGGCTTAGAGGAAAATTCCTTACTGACCCCAAAGTGCCGACCAGCATTACCCAGGGCATATGGGGCTGCAGTCCCACGAGTGGTTTGCCGCAATATAATGCCATTACCTTTGCAGATTTAAAGAGCACACTCAGACAGCAACATCTGCCTTCTGTGCCCCAGTGGTCAGCACCCCGTGTTGCCCCATTTTGGACGTGGAGTAATCGGGCACTGGGGCAGTCTAGTGTTTACAGTTGCCCGCACTTCTGCTCCACTTCCCCAGATGTATGAACTCTCCTGGGAGGGAAGTCGGAACTTGCAGATCTGTTTCCGCCACTTTTTAAGAAGTCGCTGCCTATATGCGCAAGAGCGCATATGCACATGCACCCGCCTGCATTAAAACAAAAAACAACTGAGCATCGCACTCCATGGTTGAGGATCTGCAGTGATGTGAATGCCCGACCACCAGATGAGTGTGCAGGGAAACCGCCTCAGGGTGCGCTGTCTGACTGTTCTGCCCCGCAACACTTTAAACCACTGCAATCAGAGGTGCATCCCGATCGCGGCAAGCCTCCACTGTGACCGCAGCCTAAGAAAGGGCCACAAGAGCCAAGCACTGGCTCATCCCTTCCTCGTGCCCTCCCTCTCATGATCTGCCTAACAGAATCAGCATCACTGTCAGATGTTCATCTAGTCTCCGTTTGGAAACCTCAAAAAAGGAGAGTCCACCACCTCCCGAGGAAGCCTGTTCCACTGAGGAACTGCTCTAACCATAAGGAAGGTCTTCCTAATGTTTAGCCAAAAATTCTTTTGATTTAATTTCAACCCGTTGGTTCTGGTCCGACCTTCTGGGGCAACAGAAAAACAACTCTGTACCATCCTCTACAAGACAGACCTTCAAGTCCTTGAAGACGGTTCTCATATCGCCTCTCAGTCATCTCCTCTCCAGGGTAAACATATCCAACTCCTTCAACCTTTCCTCACAGGACTTGGTCTCCAGACCCCTCATCATCTTCATTGCCCTCCTCTAGATATGTTGCAGCTTGTCAACGTCCTTCTTAAATAGCAGTGCCCAAAACTGAACACAGTACTCCAAGTGAGGTCTTAACCAGAGCAGAGCAAAGCGATACCATCACTCTGCATGATCTGGACACTATACTTCTGTTGACGCAGCCCAAAATCGCATTTGCCTGTTTAACTACCACATCACACTGCTGACTCAAGTTCAGTGTATGGTCTACTAAGACCCCTAGATCCTTTTTGCACATACTACTGCCCAGACAAGTCTCTCCCATCCTACAATTAGGCAACTGATTTTTCCTACCTAAATGCAGAACTTTACAATTATCTCCGTTGATATTCATTTTGTTAGTTTTAGCCCAGTTTTCCAGCCTGTCAAGATCACCCTGTTATCTTGATTCTGTCTTGAATGGCAGTTCCTCTTTTCTTTCTGTAGGTTATCCAGAAGCAGTCAGCCTTTCAGAGTTATGAAGACGCAGCTTGACCAGGACTTTGCAACTGAGTCTGGGACCTTCTGTGCATGCACAGCATGTGCTCTTCTACAAGTCTGTCCCTTGCGCACAGACGCAGCCTGAGAGCTGCACCCGTGTTCCAGTTTACAAAAACTGGAGGGAGCGCTGCAGTGTCACTGTGGCAGACACGAGGACACCGTCTCTTCTATTTTGGCCCTTAGCCTGATCAGCAGAGACAAGCCAACATAGCAGAAACGGCACAGGAATGGCAGAAGGTAACCTTCTGTGAGGCCAGGGAAGGACATTGGGGCTAGCTACGCACAGGTGTTTTCTCCATGTGCTGGCCTGTGTTATGGGCCAGCTGTGCATTTGTGTGCTGGCCCTGGAGCATAAAGCCAGCATGGTGTAGTAGTCGCAGTGCGAAACTACTATCTAGTGGATTCACGTTCGAATTCCCAGTCTACCAAGAAAGCTTACTCTCTCGGGTTAACCAGGTTCTTGTTGTGAGGATAAAAAGGAGGAGGAAATAATGATATTGAAGGCTGCTTTGATAGCCACTTTGGAGAAAAGTAAAATATCTAAAGAAATATAGGGGTGAGGGGAGAACTGCTGACATCGTTTGCTGCACATGTGTGTGCCAGTTCTGAGACTGATGGGTGTACGTATTCTTATATGCACGCATGTGTGTGATGTTGTTATAGCTGCTGGGTTACCATCCTTCGTTAATCCGACTGCCGCTAATAAGTTCCACGGGGACAGTCACTTAGGTATGTTGCAGTAAGCATTTTTTTTAAAGTATTGTGGCATATTAAAGACTAACAAATTTATTATAGTATAATTCTGTGCCTCTCCCATGTGCGCCACAACACAACAGCTGCTCTTTAAAGTGCCAGAAGATCCCCTTTTCAAGCTTGCTGTGCTGATGTCCTCTGAATGGGAACTAATGATTGGAAATCTTTCACTCTCCTGCCTTGGAAAGAAGACTTCCAACAAGTTGTCAGAAAGTACAAGCAATCAAAGTTGCTGTAGTTTGAACTGGGGAGCTTTGGAGGTTTTGAGCTAGAGATTTTGACCAGAAGTGGGCAACTGTTTGGGCCCCAACTGCCAAATGTTATGTGGTGCCTACTCAGGACCAATGTTCCCTCTAAGCTGAGTTAGCGTGAGCTAGCTCACAGTTTTTTAGCCTCCGGCTCACACATTTTCGTCTTAGCTAAGGAAGGAAGGCTCCAGAGCAAGGAAGGAAGGCTAATTTATGTAGCAGCCAAATCGCTCGCTCATAACTTTAATGCCGGTCGCTCACAAAATAGAATTTTTGCTCACACAGCCCACAACTCAGAGGAAGTATTGCTCAGGACCGTGCTCACGGGGGTGCCCACGAGTGCCCAGCACCTTCC